ATTAAATGTACACTTTACTTCCAGTCTGAATTCAGTCCAGTCTAGCTTCTACTTTCAGCCATTGGATCATGTTATACTCGTCTCTGCTAGATTGAAGGCCCCATTATTAAATATTTGTTCTCCATGTAGGTACTGTAATCAAGACACGCCTTAACAATCTCTTTGTTAAGCTAAATAGATTGAACTCCTTGCATCTATCACTATATGGGATGTTTTCTAATCCTTTAGTCATTCTCATGCCTCTTCTCTGAACCCTCTCCAATTTATCAACATCCTTCTTGAACTGTGGTCAGCAGAACTGGACATGGTATTCCAGCAGCAGTCACACCAGTGCCAAATGCAGAGGTAAAATAACCTCTATTCCTACTCAAGACTCCCCTGTTTATGCATCCAAGGATTGCATAAGCTTTTTTGGTCACAGCATCATACTGAGAGCTCCTGTTCAGCTGATTATCGACCACTACCCCTAAATCTTTTTCAGACTTATGGCCACCCAAGACGGAGTCCCCCATCCTATAAGTGTGACCTACATTCTTTGTTCCTAGATATATACATTTACATTTAGCCATATTAAAGCACATCTTGCGTGCATGCATTTGCATGCATACATTTTACCAAGCAATCCAGATCACTCTGAATCAGTAACCTGTTCTCTTTGTTATTTAGCATTCCCCGAATTTTTGTGTCAACTGCAAACTTTATTGGTGATGATTTTCTTTCTTTCCAGGTCTTTAATAAAAATGTTAAATAGTGTAGGGCCAAGAATTGATCCCTGCGGGACCCCACTCAAAACAGACCCATTCCCTATTTACTGTTACATTTTGAGACCTATCAGTTAGCCAGTTTTTAATCTACTTCATGTGTGCCGTTTTAATGTTATATTCTAATTTTGTAATCAAAATGTTGTGTGATAGAAAGTGAAATGCGTTACTGAAGTCTGTGTATATTATGTCAACACTGTTACCTTTATCAACCAAATTTGTAATCTCAACCAAAAAAAATCAAGTTAGTTTAACAAGATTTATTTTACATAAATCCATGTTGATTTGCATTAACTACATTACCCTCCTTTAAGTTCTTTATTAATCGAGTCCCATATCAATCGCTCCATTATCTTGCCTGGAATCAATGTGAGGCTGACAAGCCTATAATTACTCAGGTCATCCAGTTTACCTTTTAAAAAACTGCATAACATTAGCTTTCATACAGTCTTCTGGAACTTCTCCAGCGCTCCAAGACGTGTTGAAAATCAAGGTGGTCGGTTGGGTGGTTGCACACAACAAGAGAGAGCTATTAGGTGTGCTCACTAAGCTGGGCAATCAGGAAAGGGCATTTCAAAAATATGCAGGGTTTTTAGAGGGAGGGGTGGCTCCCAGTCTCTGTGACCCATGGCGTTCACAATTGAGACCAGAGCAGTCAGTGTCGGGCATTGTGGGACAGTTGCTGGAGGACTGGTACAGTCCACATAGGTCATGCAGTGTCTACACTAGCATTGTGTTGACCACAGTTGGTCAACAATGGCTCTGCATCTTATGGGAAGGTGGTGTCACTGCATCGCCATAACGAGGCGCCTGCCTTGGCTGGAGACAAATTTGAATGTAGAAACATGCACAGCTAGGTCGATGCAAGGCAGTTTACCTCAGCCTAACTTTGTTGTGTAGACCAGGCCAAACAAAGCATACCCACACATCATTCTGTGGTTGTTGTTGTTATAGTAGTACCTTGGAGCTGCAGTCATGGACCAAGGGCCCGTTGTGATTAGCACTGTATAAACAGAACAAAATGACAGCCTCTGCCCCAAGGAGCTTACAGTTCTGGCATGACTGGGCCAAATAGTTAAATCGCCATGTGTCAACCTCATAATCAGAGTATGGCTTCCTCAGCCGGGCCAGCCAAGGGTTCCTAAATATCACAGCTGACGCAAAAATAATATTGACATCCCTGCTAAGTGGTGAGAATAGAATCCCTTCCTATACATGCTCAAATTCCTTAATTATCTGCAAAATGAACTTTCCCAAGCCAGCCTGAATTTATATCCAGGAAGCACCCTTTCTGATTCACCACAGTCTGCATAAACACAGAGTAGTAGGACAGGACTAAATGTGTGGCCTGAACAGGATGGGGCGGGGGAGGCAGGAAGGGAGAGTGTCAGGGGACAAAGTATTGGAAAGGCATCACCATAAGTATATGTGATATTTTATAATCATTTTCTCTGAGTGCCCATATCTGCATGCAAATGCATGTGACATTATGGGTCTTATCTTCTCTTATTGTCCTGGCTTGCCATCCCCACCTCTGGTTTCTATTATGAAGTGCCCTTTTCTATTAAATAGCATCAATCATAATGAGATTACCACCTAAAGACTCACTCTTCATGTGTGCAGAAAACATTTATACTTCTATTGTGTGAGAGATCAAAGCAGCAGGGGTTGCAGTTTGTTCCCTAGATCAAAGCTTCGGGGCTTCATAACATTATCATAAGCACAAGCAGCCCCAACAACATCAAGAGAGCTGTCAGTTTTAGAAAGAGGACTCTGATGAGAACCTGCTCTTAAGTGATGGCCAAACCTCCAAAAGCCCCCAGGAGTTATTTGGATAATTATCCAAAAGCATGGATGCTTATCCACAAGTCTTGGGTCTTCAGGTCAGGCCAGAAATCTCCCAAGAAGAGACTTTTCTTGTAAAGATTTCCATTTCATCTGAGGTTGGAAGTGCCATGGGAAGAATCCTCCTCACAGGATGCTGACTTTTCTGTACCCCTACAGAACCTGAAAGTGCAGGGAGCAAGGGCAATTCACACCATAACCAAAAGGAAAAACAGTCTTTGAACCTCAAAAAATGCTTTTGTTTATTTCCCATTTTGGTTGATGTTTCAGGTCAGTTCTTATTTTATGTAGGGATGGGCCTAAATCAAATTCCCTGGATCTAACTGCCTCCAAACTTTGAATCTGGATCTGGCTCAGCTGATCCCACCTGTATAAAGGGGCCAAACCAAAACCCAGAGTGCAAACACCTCAAACTTACGGGAAGGTTAGATATGGATCCTACTTTTGCCACTCAGGCCCATCATGACTTTACCTGAACCAATTGGCAATTTCTAGTCAATATGATTCAGGACAAAATTCTCTTCCCCAATCCACTCTATGGATACACTATTTATTTTGCGCACATGATACCATGCTCAAGCACAACAGTGCTGGACTCCTTAGAAGATAGAAAGACTTGCTATTGATATTAGTGGGAGTTGCATGGGATGAGTGCAATATTTAGTAGCTGCCTCCAATCCTGGGGAGAGAGCTGCAGTGCAGGCTGATGAGAATTTTATCCTTGGGGGTTATATTTCTTGGAAAGTTGCTATTTTTAGGCAAGTGCTATTTGCATTAATAATACATAATGATCCAAGTCTGAAGTACTGGCAGGGTGGCCTTCTGTCCTGAGTTCCAGGAGAGCAACTGAGATCTGCTGAATTGTCTGTATTTCCGTCCCAGAGCTCAATCTGCATCATGCTGGTGGAAGCAAGGCTTTCTTAGCGATAGGACTGGCTGGGAAGCTGTGACAAATCCATGTGCTATGGAGCATATAGCCATAATTTAGTCTATAAATTACACACACACTTGGGGAGCCAGGATTAGAATCCTTGTCCCTCAACTCCAAAAGCACTGCCCTCTTTCATGTAAGCTAAAAGAGGACTGGTACTAGCAGTAGATACTATAGCCTCTCTGTGGACCCAGCCACCAGAGGATTGCCCTGGCTTGCTCACTCCTGGGTACCCAGGAAGCCAGTACATTACAGAACTCGCTATAATGGTGCCCTATTATCCCTCTCTTGTGGCTGTTTTCTAAATTCACTGCTTGTCTTTTCTCTTTGCCCATTGACCCCAGGATATGCCAATAGTGGTGGTAGGAGAGTTCTGGTGCTGGCTTTTAGTATCTGAGCCATTACATTAGTTTTTGTGCAACACCTAAGTGCTTTTAAAGGTGGACACGTATTCAATGAAGTACAGTAATCCTTTCTTTTGCTCTTCACTAACCCCTTCCATCTGCAGATCTCAAAGCACTTTACAAATATTAACAATGCCCCCTCTGAGGTGGGTCATTATAATTATCTCCATTTTACAGATATGAAAACTGAGGCACAGGGAAGGAACTAGCTGGGAGCAGAACCCAGAACAGAACCCACTCATGTGATTCCACTCCCAATGCATTTAACAAATACAGGGCAATTATTTGTGAAGTATAATATAAGAATAATATAGGGACCAATTCAGGACACACTTAGGTCCCCACATCTTTTCTCATGATTATGTCTTAGTGAGGGGCCTGCTCTTTGTTCAGTGATCAGGATTGGTTGGCGAGTTATTCCTTAGTTGGAAACATGGCAAATCAGGATTAGAGCCAAAAGAATGGGCTGTCAACCTGCCTGGAATGTTTTTCTTAAAGAGTCGTAGAGCGTGGCTAATATGAAGAATGCTGAAAGTGAGGGATTCGGCTCTTTGGCAGAGAACAGAAGTACGGAACATTTAGAGCCGCAGCAAGCCTAGCAGTATAGCTTTCAGGGCCATAGAAAGATATTTGTTCATTTCATGACTCATCTCATGCGCTGGGTCCAGTAGAGTGGAAATGGTTTGTCTCACTGCACATGGCAGAGAGATATACTGCTGGAGCAGAAAAATACAAGCAGGGTGTTTTAAAAAAAATCTCCCTTGTGGGGTCCTTTTTCCCACCAGTTAAATTACTTAAGTGAACCCCACAGTCCTTCATAGCAAGTTCCCATTTACAAATACTTATTAATATGTGTTGCAGTACCAGACATATTATAATATCCTTAAATCCCTGCATGAACATATCAGGAAAGAGATTGTGCATCTGTTTTGACATAACTGGTATCTGTGGGTCTCCACCCACCAAAAGGCCTCTGTTTGCCCAGCCAACCCCAAAATAAATTCATTGTTTCTCTGCACCTGAAAGATTGGGAAATGAACATGTGTTTCTTTTCTGCAGACCCTCCCACTATCACTGAATCGAAGAGCAATGAAGCTGCCACGGGACGGCAAGCCTTACTCAAGTGTGAGGCATCAGCAGTGCCCACGCCTGATTTTGAGTGGTACAGAGATGACACCAGGTAAACATATTGTCTATCTTCTTCTTTATTCTACCTCCTTCAAATGCTTAGTAGATTCCCCACTAAGCCCCCTAATGCCACACAAAAAATCCTCCACAAGCTATATAAGCTCAAGATCCTCTCTTATCTCATTCCTTCATACGAGCTAAGCAGGGCAGGCCTGGGCAGGACTTGAGTAAAACCCTGCTTGTAAACTCTGTGTGCTGAAAGAAGTGCTGTGGGTGATTCAGTAGATGGTGCTCTTGCCTTTGCATCAATTCTGCACCAGCATGCTGGTGTGGGATTAAGGCACCACAGGTGCCATCTTTCTGATAATCTACTGACCATCTATGTGCATTAAAGATCTCATGACCTTTGCACAAGAGTAGATTGTATTAGTTCTGGTGCTGTGGCCAAATTCCAACCAAGGTCATTAGGACTTGGCTCCCTGAACTCTGAGGGAAGAGGTTGTTTATATGTAACATTCTCTGCACCAGTATGACCGCCTTCTTAGCGCATGTGCAACATGCCTCTGGTGGCATGTGACCAGGATTCATCACCAAATGTGGTCCATTGGTTGGATCTAGCTTTCCCGGCCCTGAGCCACTGCAGCTGTCTGTCAGCATGGGAAAGGGAAAATAAATAACAGCCAGGGGAGTGACACCCAAATATTCCCTCTGCCTTGGGCTCACCCTTTACACCTGAGCATTTGTTAAAAGGGGAGTTTTACTGTGCTGGGTTTCAACTCAACCACTTAGCACATGCTAAAGTACAGCTTGCCTTGTCTACACTGGCATTTTAGAACATGTTCATTAGAACATGCCAGCTAACGTTCTAAAAAAACCCTTTTATCTCAGTCCAATAAACTCCTGCTTGAAATTGGCTTTGATCATTGGCAGCGCCCCTCCCCTTTATCACAGGGAAGCACATAATAAATGCAGTGTTTGCACCCAAGGATGTCAGCTGGGTGTAGCATCTTTTCTTTTCACTCATTCTTTTCCCTGCCTTTCCTTCTCCACTGCTGTCATTCTACCTTCACCGTCGTTTTAATCGTCGTCTCTTTTCTTTCTGTCAATTTCCCCCCTCCCTTCCTCCATTACTTTCATTCTTTCTTTCATGCTCTCACTGCCCACTCCTCCAACCCATTTCTTCTTTCCCTTCTCTCTTATCTTGCTGCCTGTCACCACCCGTATCTACCTACCTACCTACCTACCTACCTATCTTCAATGTGTCTTTCTCCCCTGCTCTTGCCATCCCTCCTTCCTTCTGATGGGAACTGAGCTACTTGTTGTTAGTGCACTGCACATCTCTTCTCTTTGCTTCTCAGGATAAACAGTGCCAATGGCCTGGAGATCAAGAGCATGGGGAGCCAGTCCCTCCTGATGGTGGCCAATGTCACTGAAGAACATTATGGCAACTACACCTGTGTGGCTGCCAACAAGCTGGGAGTCACAAATGCCAGCCTATACCTTTACAGTAAGTATTGAAGTGGGGAGGGGGACTCGAGGCAGCTCTCACAAAGGTCAGCCTGTACCTTTACACTACAGTAAGTGTGCTTTAGAAGAGGGGCCCTGAATTCAGGTAATTGGAAAACATTAGCCTGCCAAACTTCAACAGCAATCCAAGGAGCCATTAGGTAATGAACACTTCCATGTTTGTAGTCACGGCCGAACACAAGCACACGTGAGTAAATGGTTATGTTCAAGCCCCCCCTTGATCCTTTGAGTAATTTCTTTGCTGCAATCTGGTAAAACAAGAATATATATTTTTAAGCAGGGAACAGAGTGACAGCCCCTTTAAGAGAGAGATGGAATATTCGGGCCTGAAAGTTCCATGGAGGCTGAAAAATGTCAAACATTGAAAGAGATGGAGAGAAGTAACCAGTGAGCCTGGGGAGGGGAGAGCCAGAGAAAAAAGAAGAAATGGGTCTGAAAATAGAATGAAGTGATGGAAGATAACCAAGAGTGACTATATGAGAAACAGAGACCAGGATTATTTAAAGAGACATGCTACATTTTGCAAGAACCACGGGTGGGGAAATGAAGGTCTTACACTGATAGTGGGGTGATTAGAATATAGGGAAATATAGAGTAGGTTAAAGGAAATATGAAATCAAGCTCCCAGGTTTTGATCCGGTTGTCTTTGAAGTTGATGAAGGTATTGCCATAGACCTCAACAGCCACAAGCTTGGGTCCCAAAACGAGAGGGGCTCAGACCCAAACCCCACAAGCCCTCGAGGGCTTACAGAATCCAAACTTTACAGCGGGTCCCCACCTGGTCTATAATAGACCAAGCCTGAATCTGAATTCAACACTCCAGTCCATCCAAACTTTGGAGTATTTGAAATCTAGTTCTTGATACAAATACTGCACCTCGGGTAATAAATAAATGAGCCCTTCCTTTCTCTGGAAATACAGGATTGTATTAAAGTATATAGAGTTGTGATCTCTCTAGGCAGGGTGGGAGGTAAGATTTATAAGGGAGTCTCACTTTGAGTGATAGGTTTGTTTATGCTTTCTGGAGCCAGACTGATCAAAAGATAAGGGAAATAGTTTTTTAAATGAAAAAAATTGATGTAGCAGGGATGGGAGAACCCGCTGGCATTTTTGCATTCACGAGACCTCTGGATTTTTTATATTTTAATTTGAAGTTTTGCAAAACTAAGGTGCATTCCATGGAACACTTCATGTAAGCCACTGGTTCCAATAGTAATAAGAGATTAGCATGTCTTTGACTAAATGGAAACTTGTGGCACACAAACAAGGTAAGTTTCTACTCCAAAAGTCTTTTTTGCCCTACTCTTGGGGGACTGCCAGGGGATTCAAATAAAAATCTCAGGGCTGTAGCCTGGAACATGAACCGCAAATGCTACAAGTTTTGTTCTCAGTACTATTACTACTAAAAATGCCAAAAGTAGAACCCATGATTTGGGGCTAAATTCTAAATTTGACAAAATAAGTTTTCCCCTCTCTCATGGCTGCCCTTCTGCAGATGAACTATAATGCTTAACTGAAACAAAATCTAAGATCAGAACTCATATAGAAAAATAGAAACACTTTGCATGCCTATCACATCTTGCTTCTGAGGATCTCAAAGCATTTACAGACAGTGAATATTTTAACCTCACAAGCTGCTGGGAGATAGATGAGCAGTATTAGCACCTGAAGGAAAACTGAGGGACAAAGAGGGGAAGGGGCTTACCAAAGGTCACATAATCACAGGCAGAGCTGGGAATAGATCCCAGAAGTCCCAGTTCTCAGAGCCCAATCAGATAGCTGCATTCCCTGAATAAGCTTGTTAGTGATGTCATCTACCATATCAGGGAAAACATGGAAACCATTAAAGATAACCTGCAGAGAGGATATAAATTGAGCTTGGGCCATCTTTTGGTTTTTTGTATGATGTATAAAGAGGGCCTGCATTTTTTAAAACTTCTTGGGGTTTGTTTATTGGTTTATTTTGAAGGGTTTTTTTACATTAGAAATTCAGATCCTGTCTAGGCTAGAAAACTCTCTGAGGACTGGAGAAATTGTGATACGAAGACAATACGAGAGCCAAGAGAGTGAAAGTTGAGCAATTGAGAGAGGAAGAGATTTTTGGTTAGACTCCTTGTAACTGTTTGTTTAGTAAAAACCTATATAATAACTTCAGTGACTAATTTAGGAGAAGGAGTCTTGGTGAAAATTATTTGTTAACACTTCTACAAACCCCTTCCCAGCTTTCAGTTAAGGTGAGAGAGATGAGAATCAAAGCATGAGGAGACCAGAATTGCCATTCTTAAGAGGGCTGGGGAAGTAAAAAATAATAATAATTAATAACTAACCATCCATCATAATGAAGCAAAAAACACAAGCCCACTTTAAAAAAAAAAATCCTTTACAGATCACATAGCAACCGGAACAGCAGCCACTGAATATTCTCAGCCCCATGCCCAAGCATGAACAAGTGTAAGGTTTTCAAGCTACAGCTTTTGAGTGATTTTCTTCTCTGGAATCAGATTGATTGAAATAGCAGAGAAAGATTTTATATATTTTTAATAGAGAACAAACTCACTCTAGGACAACATCCCTTTTGAGAGGCAGATGGAATGTTGGTGCCTGAAGGTTCTGTAGTGGTTGAAAAATGACAGCTGGTGAGACAGAAATAGCGCAATAGGGTAGTGGTAAGATACATGTAACTTTGCCTATGGCTGAGGGGTAAAAGGGACCCACAAAATTATTTGACAATACAATCTAGTGAGAGGGAAAAGAGGGGGATGTTCCAGGAAATACCAGGTACGATAAAAAAGTCAGAGAGCGTGGAGTTCCTTAGATTTAGGTACTGTAATGAGAGATGCTACATTAAAAAAGAGAGAGATGAATAGATAGAGAGTGACCTGGTACAAGGGACCTGGAAGCATCATTGTCTGCTATAGACAGAGAGATTTATGCCCCGTACTCCTGGAGTCTTTCAGAGACAGAAGGATTTATCCCAAGAAATGAAACAAGAGCCAAGAGGGAGCAAAAGGAGACTGAGTTTACAGCAAAGAATGTGATGAACTCCAAGAAAAGGACAAAACACATCCTGTCCCTGTGTGTCTGGGATAGAAAGGATTTCTGTGAAAATGATCAGAGAGTGGTATCATCACAGAATCTGGTGATGGAGAATCAGTGTCAAAAGTGTTAGGAACATTTTTCCTATATATACTGTGAAGGAAAGATTTTGTTTTCCTTTCATTCTCCTGAATTAACAGAGTGCTTTGGGGAAGTGTCTGAGCAATACCATAATTATAGCTAAGTCCATGCTACACGCACGCACATGCATACATACACAAGATGTGTATCCACACCTGAACGCATATAAAGGTACGTAGGCACACATACACACACAAGTATACCCACCCAATGTAAACAAGCACACGCATACACACAGGTTTGCACACATACGTATGCGTGCACATCATTCTTTCAAAGACATTCCAAGGCATTATGGAAACAAAATGGAAGTTGTCCCCTCACACCCTGGACTAGACCCTCATCTGGTGCAAATCATAATCTGCACCTTCTTAGGGTCTAGCCCACTGATGGGGATAAAGCAGGAATCCATAGGCACTGGCAGCACCTTGCTCTCCTGCTGGTTGTATGGTCTGATTTACAGTGGGACAGTCACCACAGTGGTCCTGTCCCCTCTCCTGTTTGCACCCTTGAATGAGTAGATCTGGAGAAGGAGAGGTCGCTGGCAAGGCATGTTTCAATTAGAAGCAGCAGAAGGCAGGTCCCCACCATGGAAACCCCAAGAGATTTCAGGTATAGGTTATCATGTTAATCAGACACACAGATTTCCAACTATGAGCACGTTTCTTAGAAGAATCAGAGCATGTTTCCAAAATGCCATTATCTATCAGTGCCCCAGTTTTATGCATGAACATACATAGGTTCAAACACACACACACACACACATTCACGTGTGCATATCTTACCTCACCTGCTAGCCCATACCTTATTTCATGCACACATTAGTTTCAGATAATCAGTGGTGCTCTTCCAGCAGATGGAATTTGAGATGTATCCTTGTAACTAAATAGAGCAGTTCATACCATGCACTTCACCCAACAACCTCCCTGCAATAACAGAGAGAATAATGCGCTGAGGTAGAGTTCTTATGGTGATAATGGGGTGGGGTGGGGCTGAGAAGCAGCTATTACACCTTTGGTGGAGTAGAAAGGCTGTTGCTCAGCAGGCAAGGGGAATGGAGGTCTAGTCATTTAATAGAAAGTAGTGTGATAATGAGGCTATTGCACTCTAACTGCTTGCAATGTGCAACCTCTTGCCATCTACAGGACAGGACGGAAACGGGTTTGAGTTATTATTTAACTAACTAAATAACACGGAAATCATGTCAGCACAATAGCCTGTTTTCACAGAACAAGAATCCCCTGTTGCTACATAAACAGAGACCCAGCCTAGCTGTGTATTTTCCAAACAAGAGACAATCTCCCCAATTCCTGCTGTGGATTCAGACACTGTTAATGCAGGAGATCTGTCATTTTCACCGGGATGTAATTGACCTGCTACATCCTGATTGGCTTGGAGAACCTTCAGCTATTCAGAGACCAGTTTATATGAGCACAGGGTGTTTTAGAAAGAGCACCCATCTCTGAATAGTTGAAGTTCAGCTTAGAAGTGAATAATGGTTGACTACCTGTATAACCTGCCAAATACAACTTCCATCAGCAATGATCTTAGTGCAGCTCCCACAGGTTCAGTCAGACAGAGACCGTGTCTATTAGCTCATCTAGCAGAGCTGCTGCTTCTCTGCTCTATCAGGATTTATGGTATGTTCACACACTCATATGCCCCCAGCCACATGCCTGGCATCAGGGGGGACTGGGAACTCCTCTAGCTGGTTCAGTCCCCATATTCACTATTTGGGTGACACATACCATCGAGCAATCAGAATCGTCCGGGACAAATTCCATTCAGTATAATTGAGGGAGAATGGTCTACTGGTCAGAACATGTGTCCGGCATGGGTCTGGTTCTGTTCCTGGCTATGCCACTAATTCACTGTGTGACTGTGGGTAAATTATTTCCCCTCTCAATGCATCTGGGGACAATCTGTAAAGTGGGGATAATCTGCCACCTCAGAATGGGTATGTGAGTCTTAATTCTTTAATGTCCGTCTTAAGTGCTTTGAGATCCTGGAAGGGAGAGTGCTATCGAAATGCAAAGTATGGTGCCAGCAGCAGCAGTATCATGACGTAACAATGTACCAAAGATGAACCTTCAAAATCTATAACCAATTCCCCCAACCCAGCAGGCTGTATAAACAAGGAGATGTTGATGGGACTGTGAAAACTTTTCCCCAAATATTGCGCCATGGGGAAGTGAGGGCACTTAAGGAATGTGTGACTGATTAGGTTCAGCATGGCGAATGATCATGCACTCAGGTCCCTGTGAGTGTGTCCATTAAGATAGGTTCTGTGAAGGCAATAAATCCACATAGATGACCTGGCACACCTACCTGCACAATTCACTTCTCTGCCAAAGACTAGGTCCAATCAGGAGATGCCGCTAAGGTGGCCCACGGTCTGGTGACTCTGGCATTTGGAAGCAGGAAGAGGCCATGTGACCCATCCACTACAAATAGCATCACTGCAGGTCTTTTATTCCTCCTGCTGTATGGACATTGATTATTCAGTTCTGTGTGCCATTGAGATGGTTTCTCCTCAAATCCCAATCCATGGAAACATGTACTGTGATGTGTTGGTAGCATAATGCTCTGTATGTGAAACGGTCTTAGTCAATCCAATTGTAGGATGGGGGAGCTGTCAGGTTTGTAACTGCTGCTTGCTGGGTGTGGAAGTGGCATTTCCTTTTCTCCTGCATGTTGCTTATTGTTGTTTTTCCCCCCTAGAGCGAGTTTTACCCACACTCCCCAACCCTTTTCCAGGTCAGTATATGCTTTATGTCAAAGTACCTCTCTAGCCGGGTCATTCTCCATCATCTCAACAAGTGCTAAAAGCCGAGGGTGGGCAGAGCAGAATGACAGGAAAATAAGGATGTCCCCTTTTGCATTGCATCCCAGTTGTCCCCCCCCCCTCAAAAAATTGTTGCCAAAATCTCAGATTGAATCCAAACCTGAGGTTCAAGTGACTTTGCTTAACTTCTTTTCTTCCCATCTTTTGTAGAGATGAGCCTGAGCTGTTGTGTTTGGATCCAGATCCAAATGTTCCCAGTGTTGAGTTTGTCATCAGGCCCATTTCTAATTATTGTATATATTCCAACCAGAAGCATATGTGCCACAGTAACTCAAAAATAGGTTCATCTCTTGGTGCACCCAGTCTGACCAGAAGCAGAAGCATCTTGCAATCCTGTAAGGGGGGAAAAAACATAAAGCTGCTACTCTCAGATTTCCATCTCAGGGTATGGAATGTCCAGAGAAGCATCTATACTTTTGAGTGCTGATTCCTAACGAACCACCTCACTTTTTGTGATTCATCTGTCCCAGTGAAAATGTCTTTGCCGTTCGCATGGTAGGACAGCTGGGGCAGTAACTGTGAAAAGAAGCATAGTGTAGTCATTAAAGCAGACATGAGGCACCTCTGATTTGACCCAGTTCACAAGGAGCAAGTGTGAACACAAGGTAGGGAATCAGGAGACCTGGATATTATTCCCAGATCTGCCACACACTCGTTTTGGTCAAATCAGATGGCCGTGTCTCCGTTATTAGATGTCCCAATTGAGAGGGGCCTGATTTTCAGAGGATGGGTGCTCAGTCCTTTCTGAAGTCAGGCCCTTATAAGGGGTTTCAAGTTGGGCACCCAAAAATGGAGGCACCCAAAATCACTAGTCACTTTGAAAACTCTGGCCTAAGTGCTTAATTTGTGCCGGGGCTTAGCCCAGCACCTCTAGGCTTGGCAGTTCATAGCCCCAGCACTTCTGGGCTTGCTGCATCAGTTATGAATGTAAAAAAATTGCTTGAGCCCTGGCACCTCTTTCATTACAAATTAAGCACTGCCTATGCCCCACCATACCTCAGTTTCCCCAGCTCTACAATGGAGATATTGATACTTACTTAATTCTCAGGGCTGTCATGAGGACTAACTAGTTAATGTTGCTAGAGCACTATAAGGTCAAATGCAAAGGATTATTAGGAGTCCATTTTCTTTTGTGTGCCCAAACGGAACACCAGCATTTCCTTAGAGGAAGTGAGCAATGGATGGTGGGAGTTTCACACCAGCTTCACTTAACCACCCCGCAGTTTCAAATCAAGCTCTGCTGCAGACAACTTCGTCAGGGCCAGGATGGGGATACACTTATTATATTTAAAGGCAAATTTGCAAATACAATTAACGAAAAGTACCCCAAAAAAAGAAAAATTGAAATCAAGCCACCATTAAAATTAAATCCCAGGGAGTGATTTGCAAATAACATTCAAGAAGCTGGGAAAAGGAGTAAAGCAGGCCATTGGGAATCTAGCGTGGAAAAATAAATCCAATTAAATGCAATTATTGAGCACACTGTAAATGAAACATGGGCTCAGATATGAAATTAAAGTCACAATGGCTGTTTAGGGTTTAAGATTTTGGTTCTTTTAATTTTTTTAAGATGTGGGGTTTTTAATGGCAAATATTTCAGTCCAAATTGAAAAGACATTTTTGTCTTTTTCTTTTTTTAATTCCACAGGCAGACAAAGGTTTTGCTAATTTTTCTCCCAACTGTATTGTCTCCTGTCGTGCATTAGTGGCCCATTAAGGCAAATGCTAAAAATTGCAGCTGAGCTAAGCCCAGATTTCTATGCCAAATGCCCCTTCTAAGTTCTAACCACGCTGCCTGCGCCATCCAGCACAGTTTTAATCAACCTATGAAAATTCTTCCCCACTGCCTTTGATATTTTCTTGCTGCTTCCTGTCTCAATAATAATGGCTCAGTGGACATCACACTGTGACATCACAGTTGCAGTGAGTCTTTAGGAATTTGTTGTATTCTGCGATATCTTCAGTGAACCAGGAAGTGCTAAGAGGATTTCACAGAAGGAAAATATAATTTTAATACTCTGCACCACATTTCTTTTGCTGAAAGCTCCCAGCTGCTTCTTTAATGTGGGCATTCAGCACAGACATTGGTGCTCATATCAATCTTCACTTGTCCTTTGCAGTTCACCTTTAAAGAACACCAGGCAAAAAAGTTTCCTCGCATGACATGGACTCCATCACTATATGGGTTTATGGGTTCCATTCTCTTTGCCATCAACCTCTTCTGTGACCTAAGTCATGTCACGTCCCCTCTTTGTACCCCAGTTTCCCTATCTATAAAGTATAGCTGACACTTTCCTACCTCCTGGGGTTTCTGACGATTAATTAATTAGTGAAATAATTAGGGAGGTGCGTTGAGATGGAAAGGGCTGTGTACATTCAAAGTATTGTTATTATCTGCTAGCTGCTGTTTAAAAGAGGTCAGAGATTTCAAAGGGAGCTATTTAACAATACACAGGGCTTGAATCTGATGGGGAAGACTTTCCTAGAGCATTAGTGAAACCCAACTGGTCCTTATTTCAGCTGTTAAAAATGGGGCCTGTGACCACCATTAAGGTACCAAATCCCCTGGTAACATTTCTAGCCATCCTGATTGTTGAGGCAAGGCATTCAAAGTGCCTGAAATCTCATCTGGGCTGTCGTCACATCATCGTGTGTAACATTGCTCTATTTATGCTGTCATGTCACTGCATCTGGCTGTTGCATCATTGCATCATCAATAGGGCCGGATTTTCAAAAGAGCTCGGAGTTCTTTCGTGGAAGTGCTCCTCTTCTGGTCTCTCTGACTGCACTCCCCAAGAGCCTTGTGCATTCACCTCTTTCAGGGGGGATTCCCATGAGTCTCCCACTCTTAGATTGGGCCTTGGGCTGTAGTACCCTGTGATTACTTAGCAGGCCCCACTGGATTTGGCACCTGCAATTCTTCCCTTTGGGAGCTTATGACCCGTGATTCATACAGGTGACCAGACAGCTTTGTCAAACCAATCTTAACAGTCTTACTCCTCCTAAACCCCACCACCCTATAGTAGTGGGCCAGGTACGTTTTGCTTCTTCAGACCTTCCAGCGGTATCTGTCTCAGCATCAATCTGTTCTCCATGAGCAGCTCTTGGACAACTACCTCATCCCTGGACTTATCCCTGGACTTTTAAACTCTTTAGCGTTCCTTTGGTCTTTTGGCAGCCAGCTGTGGCAAAAGCAGTCTTGACTGGAGCCTATAAGTTGCATTTTCCCAGAAAACAGATCAAGCATTGTCCCTTCTGTGCCCTCCTTGTTTACTGGGAGGTTGCTTATCTGGAGTCATTGTATTACCTTCCTGCTACTTTCCTAACAGTCCTGCTATTAAACTGACCCAACACATGAATACAGTAAACATTCCAGTAAGCCCAACAGAGCCATAGACTAACTATCTCACCAACTAGGTCACCTAGAGTATTCGTAAATGATTATAGATCAGCCCCACCTCCTTCACAGCGCCTGCCCTGGGATCTCTGCCAGAGCTTGCCAAGTGTCAGGGCAGTGAGTGGCGCTGTCCTGGGCTGCGTATTTTAACAGGACAAGGAATCAAGTGCAGAGGCCACTCAGTTGGGCCACATCAAACAAAATCCAGTTCCATTGCTCATCAACAGGATAAAGATAGTGGTGAGGTGACTGGTCGGGGGCAGGCCTATCTTTCCACCAAACAGACACAGATTGGAGAATGACCCTGGATGGACTGTAGATTGTAGCTAGTCTCCTTTTAGCTGTAGTCCTTGTAGCTTGTATTGTTACTAATGCCTTGATCGGGGTGGGAGGGAGGGAGAAGAGAGCTGTTCATTTGTGTCTAATGACCAGAGGTTGGAGCTTCCTAAGAGGCCCAAAGAGCAGCTTTCTCTTTAACGGCCTCCCATTCTTCTCCCTCCTGCCCAGGGATTGGGCTCCCTTCTGGGAAGCACAGAGACTTCTCCTGTTAATGTGGTCACCTGTTCTCTCCCAGCACACTCCTTCCAACACATGGGCCTTAGCACCAAAGCAATTCCAGTGAGTGAACACTTTTCTCATGGACAGTGACTCTGCATTTGCCAAAACTGGGTGGTCTGGTTGGTTTTAAACAGGATGTCTCTACAGGAAAAAATCATGGGGAAATAGGACCTTTTGAGCAGCACAGACTCTGAGGATCCAACATGGTACAGGGCTGGCCCGCTGAGCAGTCAGAACTGCCTTCCCTTGATCCAGCCAGTCCCAATAAGACAATAAATAATCCTTTGTTAAGTCCTTGGGTGCTTGCAAGGGGGTCAGGCCCCACCATGCCCCCTGTTCATGCCCAAGAAGAGGAATTGCTTGGCAGGCACCACAGTGTTTTTAGGGCCAAATTCTGCTAACACCAGGTCTGAATTTGATCTTTACACTCATTATTTGGTCCCCATAATGAAACCAGTTTAAACCATGTTCAAGGTCCCTCCCCATCCCCAGCCATTCTTTAGGATTTTAACTCACTTCCCTAGCAGGGCTCAAAGGAAGGAACAGTGAAATCCCAAATCACATACACTGCTTTTAAAACATGTTAATTCTTTAATATGGTTGAGAACTCGAAGCACAAACAGGCCCAAATGCTTGTTTTGATCTCTGTTCCTGACACCGGAGCAGCCAGGAAATAGAAATAAGTAAAAGATGCGACAAGCATGAGATGCAACATTTTGATCCATCTCTGGATCAGAACTTTCCCAAAGGTCACGGGGTGTTTGGGGTCACAATTCAGGTTGGGCCTATCACTATATAATGGTATATTTGTGTCTGACCAGGGTGCACCTCTGTCACATAACTGGATTGCTGGTTGGCTTCAGTTATCTGCATCTCAGCAGAAGCTCACTTGTTTACAACCTGCCACCCTAAGCAGAAAGTAGGGCTCAAGAACTCAAAAGGCTTCCATCTGACGTT